AAAAAGTCCTCCCATGTGCAGATTTAGGCAGAGTCCACCCCCTCAGTGTTCCTCTCACACACACTGCATGACCCCACTGCAGTGTTTGGTGCGAGGCAGGTCCTTTCCCTAATACATTCTTGGGAAATTGCAAGGGGAGTCTGCTATCTAGGGCATGAGTGTACTCTGAGCAGCAGATGCACGCCTTGCAAGTGATCATTTCCCTTACCTTCGGCCCTGGGAAGCATGAACTGACATGTGATGGCCCTGTGCCACTGCGAAAGAGATTCTCATAGAGACAATTTCTCCACCCTGTCCTCAGATAATTGTATTTTCTACGTGGATCTTGGAAACTAATCAGAACTAGGAAAACCTGTTTACCAGGGTGACCTAGATAGCTCTGTAACTCCCAGTGCTGGTTCTAGTAACTAACTAACAAACAAACAAACAAAAACTCCCTGCATGTTTACCCTCCTGGTTTTCTCAACTTTTAGTAGGGTCTCCTCAAATCACCTCTGTGTCTTCATATTTATTTAATCGCCTGCTTGTTTGCCCCTCTCCCCCATTCTTTGTCTCCTCCTTGTCCATAACCTTGCCCTCTCTTCAGGAAGGGAAATTCTCTTTCACCTGGGTTTCCCATCCACCAAACTCTTCCTCTTCACACCTCTCAGTCATTTATCATTGTCAAATCCCTTCTTAAAACCTCTCTACCACTTCCAACACACGGCTGGGCTTCTGCATGGCTGGTGCTCTCTCTTCAGCATTCTACTGCACTGCAAGAGAGGACACTGCAATGCGATGTAACAACCCACTTCATCATACCTGTTGCGATCTCCTCCTTCATATAGGCTTGGTTCTCCACTCCATAGGTCTTTTTCTTCATGAACGTAGGTTGGCAGGAATAGTCTTCTGCAGGATAGTCCTCAGGCTTGCGTGGGATGGTGAGGAAGCAGAATTCAGGCACTATGTATATCATCAGGAAGACCCATCCGTTGGACACCAGAGCAATGCTGATGACAGGATCATCCCAGAGGGGCTGTGTCATTAATTCTGGGTTGCCTCGCAGGAGCATGGTGATCCACACCACCCAGATAGCGATGGAGAACAGGAGAGTGATATAGATGTGGGCACCGTGCCTCCTCCAGCCTTTGTATGTCCCACAGAAAGTGAACATGGATACCAGGAAGGTGAGAGCCATCAGGAAGAGCACGTAGATCAGAAGCATGACAAAGTCCTTATTGCGTTGTTCTATATTCATCGTAGTAAAGTCAATGTTTTGTCTGGCCACTATGATGACTACATATATTATGGCTATAATAATCTGCACCAGAGTAAGGCTAATGGCAATAGCCAACAACACCGGGTACTGAAGATGGATCTTCCCTCTCACCAGTTTGACAAGATTGAAAGCATGAGTCAGGAGGCAGGAAAAGCAGAAGGCGAAAAGAACTCCAAAGAGGAAGAAGCGGGTGGGGCCAGTCCGGACATTGAGTTTAATGATGAAAGCAAAGGTGAGGCTGAAGATCCCTAGGGTGCCGAAGAGGAAAAGGAAATAGATGGGGATCATGCTTCGCTTGGTGGCATCTTGGACTTTACCGATGACGATGAGTAACGAGAGCATGAAGATGATTGTGGAAATGATTCCAGCAGCAGCCACTGATTCCAGGACAATACCCCAGACTTGTTCAGTGTCACACAGTAAGTAATAGTCAGGGTGAAGATTCTGGTTGCAGCCCGGAGGAGCCATGGTGACTCACAGAACAGCCCTCAGCAGGGACTTGGGTTTAGTGTACGGTGGTGGATGATGGTAGTGTCAGATGATATCAGACTAGAAAATCTGGTGCTCGGTTCTGGCCTTAACCTCTATGACTCTATGAGTATTCTTCCAATGATCTGCAGAAGAAGTTGAGACAGCAATGTAGCATAAACCTTGTTAAGTTAAGACAGTAGGGGTATGTCTAGACTACATGGCTCCGTCGACAGAGCCATGTAGATGAGTTTACTAGACACAGGAAAATGAAGCGGTGATTTAAATAATTGCCGCTTCATTTACATCAAAATGGCCACCGTGCTGTGCTAATCAGCTGTTTAGTGGCACAGCGGGGCAGTCTGGACGTGCCGCGGTCAATAAAGGAAGCTTTTGTCGACGGCTCTGGTATGCCTCGATTTACCAGAGCGGTTGACAAAGTCTTCCCTTGTCGACCGCGGTGCATCCAGACTGCCCCGCTGTGCCACCAAACAGCTGATCATAACAGCGGGGCAGCCATTTTCATGTAAATGAAGCGGCAATTATTTAAATCACTGCTTCATTTTCCTATGTCTAGTAAACTCATCTACATGGCTCCGTCAACGGAGCCATATAGTCTAGACATACCCTAGCTGAGGAAAGAAGCAAAAAAATGTCCAATGCCTATGTCTGTGTACAAGTCAAACTATTTGTAAGGATTACTGCATACAACTGACCAGTGGCTCATCTAGTCTGGCATAACATCTCTGGCAGCGGCAGGTGCCAAGCAGACCTTAGGGAAAGGTGAATCATCCACTACTGTCATCTCAGAATATCTCTAAGGGTATGTCTACACTGCAGATGTAGATCGAAGCTGCTGCTGTCAATCTGCCAGGGTTCGAATTAGTGGTCTAGTGAAGATAACTAAAGTGAGAGAGGCACTCCGGTCGATGCCGATAACTTTGCTTCCACAAGGAGTGAGGGAAGTCAAAGGAAGAGTGTTCTTCCTTTGGCTTCCTGAAGTGTAGACAGCACCAAAAGTCAAGTTAAGCTACTTCGACTTCAGCTACACAATGAATGTAGCTGAAGTTGCATATTTTAATTCGACTTTGTCTTGTAGTGTAGGCATATCCTAATTGTGCACTACTGTAAACTGATAGGAGAGTTTGTTTCGGGCTCTAGTGGAATGCCCTGAATCATAAAGATTGATAAGCTTTGCAACTTTTCCCCTAGGTAATGGAGCAACAGGCTTTCTTGCTATTCATAGACATACTTAATCCTTTCTTGAAATTCAGTAAGATACAATATTTGACTCCATAGCCTGTAGCAATGAGTTGCTAAGGCTACTTATACATAGCATGAAAATATATTTTGTCTGTTAGTTTTCATCTTGTCTTATTCAAAGGATCCTCTTGTCCTTGTTTTATGGGAAGGGGTGACCTGAAGCCCTTGATTAACTTTCTTCATTCCTTTAACTATTTTGTGTGCCTTCGTCATAGTTAGCTTAGAAATGAGAAGATGGAGAGGGGACATGATAGTGGAAACGGGTGCCAAAAGGAGGAGGGAGACAAATTGTTCTCCTTGGCCTCTGATGATAGGACAAGAAGCAAAGGGCTTAAGCTGCAGTAAGGAAGGTGTAGGTTGGACATTAGGAAAATCTTCCTGTCAGGGTGGCTAGACACTGGAATAAATTGCCTAGGGAGATTGTGGAATCTCCATCTCTGGAGATATTAGGAGTAGGTTAGATAGACATCTATCAGATGATGCTTGGTCCTGCCAGGAGGGCAGGGGACTGGACTCAATGACCTCTGGAGGTCCCTTCCATTTCTAGCATTCTATGATTCTATCATAGCTCCTGTACAACCTAAACAGTTTTGATGGTGGGTCCATACCTCCCCTCTCCAAAAAATAAAATAAAACCCACACATAATTCCTAAAGGGTAACAAGAAAACATTTTACAAATGCACTAAAAGCAAGAAGAAGAGCAAGGACAGAAGAGACCTATTGCTCCTAATGAGGGAGAGACAATAACAAAAAAATGCAGTAATGGCCAAATTGTTAAAATATCATTTTTGTTTCACTTTTCAGAAAGGATAACAGTAACCAGATGACTAATATAGTGAACATTGATATAAATGGGATAGGATCTGAGGCTAAAATAGGAAAAAACAAATTCAGAATTACTCAGTCCAAACTTATGTTGGTATAATTACATTATTCAGAGGTGTGGAAAATCCACACCCTTGTGTGACGCAATGATATTGACTGAACTCCTGACTCAGATAATGCGAAGTCAATGGGAGAGTGCTGTGCTGATAGGACAAGCTCTTCCATCAGTAGGCAACATCCTTACTAAGTGCTACAGCAGCACAGCTACACTACTGTAAGTGTAGTAGAGAAATCTTAGGTAAGCTGGATATCTTCAGGTGAGCAAAACCAGATAAGCAAAACCAGATAAAATACATATAGAATACTTAAAGAATTGGCTGAAGAGATCTCTGAGCCATTAGTGATTATCTCTGAGAACTTGTGAAGGACAGGAGAGATCCCAGAGGACTGGAAAAGGAGATACCTATCTTAAATAGGAGAATAAGGACAAATTTAACTTTGGTACCCTGAAAGATAATGGAACAGATAATCAAACAATCAATTGGTAAGCATTTAGAAAAAATAAAGTAATAAGGAACAGTCAATATGGATTTGTTTGTCAAGAACAAATCATGTTAAACCAACTTAATATCCTTCTTTAACACAGTAACAAACCTTGTGGGAAGTGGTAGATGTAATATACCTCAACTTTAGTAAGTCTTCTGCTACTGTCTCACATCCCACTCTCATAAACAAAATCAGGACACATAGCCTGGTCCAAGACTAATCTGCTATAAAAAGGGTGCACAACTGGTTGGAAAACGATACTCAGAGAGTAGTTATCACAAGTTCACTGTCAGACTGGAAGGGCATACTGAGTGGATCCCACAAGGACCTGTCCTGGGTCTAGTTCTATTCAATATCTTCATAAATTATTTTGATAATGGCATAGAGAGTATACTTAAAAAGTCTGCAGATGATACTTAGCTGGGAGAGGTTGCAAGCACTTTGGAGGACACAGTTAGAATTCAAAATAATCTGGACAAATTGGAAAAAGGTTATGAAATATATAGGATTAAATTCAATGAAGAGAAATGAAAGTACTACACTTAGGAAAGACTAATCAGTTGAATAAATATAAAATGAGAAATGACTGCCCAGGAGGGATCTGGAGGATTATAGTGAAAAAATGAAATATGAGTCACCTATGTAATAGTGTTGCAAACAAAGGTAATATCATTCTGGGATGTATTGGTGTGTAAGTAAGACATGAGGAGTAATTTTTCCATTCTACTCAGCGCAGATAAGGCTTCGACTGGAGTACTGTGTCTAATTCTAGGCACCACACTTTGAGAAAGAGGTGGGCAAACTGTAAAGTCCAGTGAAGTGAAACAAAAATTATTAAAGTTCCTAAAAAAAATGACCATATGCATAAATATGAGAAAATTCTAGGCACCACACTTTGAGAAAGAGGAGAAATGACCTTATGCATAAATATTGGTTTTGTTTAGTCTGGACAAGAGAACACTGAGGGGGGCATGATAACTGTTTCAAGTATGTAAGAGCTTCTTATGAATGGAAAGGTGGTAAATTGTTCAGAATCATTGAGATCAGGACAAGAAGCAGGGGGCTTAAACTGCAAAAGGGGAGATTTAGATTAGACATTAGGAACAACTTCCTAACTGTCAGAGCAGTTAAGCACTGGAACAGATTACCTAGGGATACTGTGGAATCTCCATCACTGAAAGTTTTTTTTCAGAACAAGTTAGATAAACATCTGTCTAGGATGGTCTAGCTCAGTGTTTCTCAAATGGGGATCTGCTGCCCCCTGGAGGAATGTGAGTCCTTCCAGCACTACAGCAGCCCTACCTACCCTCTCCCTCCACTTTGAGAAGTTTTTACACTTTTTGAACTGACTCCCCACTTGGAGTTATATTTTTTGCTTGCATCCCTACACAAGCCAGACAGCTGGGTGGCCTGCTAAGTCAGGTGTGGGGATGGCATTCCCTCCAAGTCTCACTGTGCAAAGCTGGCTTGAGTCTGTTGCCAGCCTTACTCCCTCTTCCCCCCCAAATAGGAGTCATACTCTAACTATGCCCCAAGGTTCCACCCCTGGTCTGGAGCCCTGAGTCCCTGCTAGGCCCTGTAATTTTTATAGCATACTGAAGAGTGTCTCGGAAAAAAAATAGGTTAAGAACACTTGATCTCGATAATACTTCATCCTACCTCAATGCAGGGGACAGGACTAATCTAGATGATCTATTAAAGTCCAACATTACATTTATACAATTTCTATGTCTGTTCGGCGCTAGAAAACACATCAAGGACCCCTGTTCACCCCAGATGCTTCCCCATTGCTACAGGCCTGGACAAGAGTCCCACTGCTAATGCTGTTAATGTGTCAGAAGCATTATTCTTTGTGTCAGGCAGTAGTGATAATGCTCCGAGAGTCCCCAGTTCATGACTCTCTGTAGGATGCATCTCTAACATCCCACTATGTTCAAACTCTGTTATTAACTAGTGTTACAAGCAACTGAAATGGGGGGGGGAGGGACTTTGCCCTCTTCTTTCTGATGTGTAAAGAAAAGTTGCATCGTCCTGTGATGGTTATTGTTAGGTGCAATCCCCAGACCACAGTTTTATTTTTTTCTAAATTATTTTCTCAGTCCTGGGAGCCTTTACATTGACTTCAATGAAGCAGGACTGAGTCCTTAAAAAGCATATTCTAGAAAATCCAATGAGGATGAGATCCTTGAATTTCACATGAAGCACATATATGCATGTCCCAGAGTGAGCTGACTGGTAATAGTGTATTGCACCTTTTCACAACATCTGCCCCCCATAATATGGGAAATGCAAAATGCATTACTCTCTAAAAAATAGTTACAAAAAATGTGTGTGTAAATATACAGGAAAACGGTAAGTCCACAGAATGCCCCAGGAGTCTGGGGAGAATAGAATCAAGGTGCAAAGCATGGTGGTATTAAGTTGTCACCAGATCCCACCACTAAACCTGAGCTGTCTGAATCACCACTGTCACTGCAAATGATGTTCATTATGAATCGATCCCTTTAATTAGCAAATTGTTCACAAACAAATCCTGATTTGTTCTAATGTATTTTCTGAGCTGGGATGACAAATTTTCTTTCTGTAGGGTGTTTTTCAACCACTCCCTGGGGCTATTTACTCTGTGTTTGGACACCTAAATCGTAAAGCAGAGTGTCTGCTCCCAGTGTGGAGGACTGAACCATTTTAAACAAGAGTCTGACCAGTCACGAATGGTGAATACTGCATTTCATCTGGAGATTTTCAGATGAATTGTCATTCATTAAACTTTTGGGATTTCTGATCATTTGCACAAATACCTGGCAGTTGTCCAATCACTTGCGAATAAGGAATAATGTGATCCCATGAATCTTAGGGAAGCAAATTCACACAAATATTCACACCTCAGAATATTTTAGTTTTGACCAGCTCTAGCAGACAGACAGACAGATGGGGCACAATATACAGACAGCTGGAGATTGCAAGCACGGGACACAGAAACAAGCATGGGACACGCAGACAGGGAGATCTACTGAACAACATACACTGTGAGGAAAACATTAGAGAATTACCAGGACAGCACCCAGCATTGAACACACTCTGACCAGATGGAAAGAGCTTTAACATCTTTGAGATGGAATCAGAAGTCACTTGCTAATTTCTCTTCTCAGAGGTATTTGCTCTAATCAGTGATTACTTGTGCAATAACATCGATACATATGGCTGTCCATAGCCATTCCTGAGACCTGACATCTCTTTAAAAATGGGAAGGCGCCCTTTTCCGAGTGTGTGTGCATGCACATGCGCATATGAAAGTTCTCAGGGCGTGCGCCTCTGTCCCCCGCATCTTAGGCTGGAGCTTCAGGGACACTTCTGAGCTGAAGGGTCTGAGACATGCCTCCTCTAAATCTTTCCTCGTGGGATTTTACCCTCTCCCCACCACACACACACTTGAATACTGTAATACACAATACTTATATGGGCTTTACATCTGTCAACCTCAAAGCACTTTGCAAGGAAAGAGAGCAACACCATCCCCCAGGTAACAGGTGGGGGAACTGAGTCACAAAGGAAGTCTACTGTAGGGTGGGCTTCAGAACCATGTTCCTGCCTGAGCCACAATTTCAACAGGCTGCCTCCACAGCTATTGTCAGAGAGCTAACAGGAGCCCCGCTAGCCTGAGTCTGGTGACCTGGGCTGGGAGGCTAACTGTGTGGACATACCCAGAAAGACAAAGTAACTTAAATGACACAGCAATTCAGTGGCTGGGTCAGGAATAGAACCCAGATTTCCTGATTCCCCAGCCAGGGCTCTATCCACACTATCCGGTGATTCAAGGTGACCACCTCTGAGGAAGGTCTGAATTCCCTGCCTTCCCTGGAGGCTGTGCGTGAGCCCCTGCCCCACAGCTGTAGCCTGGACTGTGCAACTCTGAATTACCTGATTGGTATCCTGTGTGGAAGCCGAGACCCCAGCGACAGTGGCCGAAGGAGAGAAATTCTTACCTCACCCAGGTGGAAAGTAATACCAGCTCCTGTAATCTCGCAAGCAGCAAGTCTGCACTCACTCTAAGAGGAGCTCTAAAAGTAACCAGGGTGGGGAGGGGAGGGAGTGGGACACGCCTATTCCAGTTCCACTACTCCTGGTGCTGTTTTGAAAATAAGGTCCCGGTGCCAGGAGATGAAGTAAAAACTTCTGATGTCAGAGGGGTAGTCACCCTGCAGCAGGGTGGAGAAGGAACCTCAGGCAGGCCCAGCCCCAGGACTGAATCAAACACTATTAATCAAGGCACCTGATAAACTGTGCCTCCCTGTGAGTCCAGCCACCAGCTGGACAGGTAACTGGAGGAGTCTTGTTCACAAGAATAACAGCACAGCCCCACCCTCATCATACCTACGTATGCTTCCCTACCATGGAGCTAATCACAGGCAAAGGGTTGTAAGTGGGAGAAACCTTGCGATGAGAATGACCCTTTAAACCCCTAGTACTCTGTATCACTCTGATCCTGACCCCAAATTCCTTTTTCTTCTGTCCTTGTGCAGGGAAAGGCAGAATTCTGTCCTTCCGTAGATAAGACCACCTCATCTCCTTGCTTCTGATTCCTTTGTGGCCTCTACCTCTCATTAGGGCCATCCCAAGGTGGGTGCAGGGCCTGAGGCAAAACCACCTCCAGGCATGGAGCCCAGAGTAACCTCCCCATTGCAGGTGCCGTCTCTTCCCCAAGCCCTGCCCCGTCATGCTTTCTTTCCACCACTCCGAAGCAACACGGCCTGGATTACAGAAGGCCTGGCGCAGCGGTACCAGGCGTCACTCCCCCCCCCCCCCCAGGGGGGGCGGCGGCGGG